GAGGGGGGGGCATGCTGCGTGTGTGTGTGCTTATTCGTTTCTGTTTTTCTTCGGGTATTAATTGTTTTTTTCTGCTTTTTTTGTTTTTGTATTGTTTTTGCTTTGTTTTTGTTTGCTAGTTTGTTGTCTATTTGCTTTATAGTTTGCTCATCATTTAAGAAGAAGCAAATCAAGACATTGTGGGTCATATTATACACCAGATATCCCATTCGATTTAGCGAAATCAGCTCTCTGAACACCTCCGGACAGTTTCATTGTGATTGAAAAGAAAGGTAAAGGCGTAGTGACGACCATTGCCTTTAATAGAGTAAAGAGAAACACATCAAAATTTTAAAAAGTCACATAGTGCAGGAAGGAAAAGCAGCAAAGGCTGACAGATATCACTCAGGGGAATAAATTAAATCGGTGCTATCACCTACGCCTCCATGCACCTGCAATGACGATCATGTCGTGTGAAAAAACATCATGACAACAGAAGAGGGAGAATCTAATTTCACTTACATCTTATACGAAGAAGACAAGGTTATTGTGGACACCCATCTAATTTACTGGTGTCTGATTTATTGTCTGTCCGTTTTCTTCCTTGCAGGCATTCGTATGTTGCTGTCATACTTTTGAAAGAGTCCGGGTGTTTTTTACTGAAAAACTACGGATAAAGTGCCGGAACTAATCACAATAGTTTATCACATTTCGACTGTAAGAGTACGAGGGTGAAAGTGCAGGATATTGACTCTCTCACGTTGTCTTGCTGCTTTCACTAAAGAGATTTTTATAGAGCCAGAGCGTCATCTGAATCAAATATAATGCCACTGCATGTGCAAGTGCCTTTATTTTCTTTCCTCAAGGTTCTGATAGAAAGGTGTAGATTTGGAATAGGCCAACCCTAAAACCTTAGGGAAATGAATTGTTCTAACTAAAGTATCCCTCGAGCTCAGTCGAGATTGGGACGTTTTGATTTTTCTCGATCTGTTGTTGGGCTATGTAAATGCAGTACACTTTTATGGAAAGTATATTATGCTAGTTTACCTTTCAGATTACTGAACCTTTGATGAACGAATGAATCATTCCGTGAAGTGTCTTAGAGTAACATACACAGGTAGTCAATAAACATGGGTAAGCTGCATACACTCTTAATGTTTTCTTCCCATGACTTCGAGTAAACGTACCTTGACAGATGACACAGAGCTATTACCAAGTTTAAAAAGAAACAAAGACTGACGCCTGTGCCCGTCTTGAGGCAAGGTGTCAATGAAACTGTTCCAGCTCAGAAAGAGTCCGTTGTTTTTATAGCATAAACTTAGCCAGGCGTAGTCATACTTCAGAATTTCTTGAGCTCCAACAACTTAGATAAGATAAGTGTATGTAGGTTAACAGACATTGATGTATTTCCGAAGGCAGTGGTGTACATGCAGATAGTAAGCAGTTCTACAAGTAAGGAGAAAGTGCGGACGTGACGTAAGAGTCGAAAGATTGGTGAAGTCAGAGGTGGCCATGAAAATGCAGCAAAGTACATTGCAATTACTCGTGCTTGAACACTCTTCTTCTACCTCTGGAACTTCTACAAAAGGCGTTGGGGTATAAGTGAACAAAGGCCTCTTTTTTAAAGTCTCTAGACCTTCTATGTATATTTTGGGTCTCCAATCTAAGCGGGACCACTGTGGGTCATGACTAGCCTAGTATCGCACTACAAAGGTGAGCTTTGGACGATGAAAAGAAAAAAATGCACGACTAAATACAGTAAAACCTCGGTTTAACGTGCTTCCTTCTGACACAAGATTTTGAACGTTTTAGCCAACCTACGTAGTATTAGAAAAAACAAAACAAAACAAAAACAAACAAACAAACAAACAAACAAACAAACAAACAAAAATAGCCACGACAGGGAAGGTTAGGCCTACTTTGTAATGTTTATTCTCTTTGTTAATTAACTACTTTCACTTCTTACAGGATGGAAAAGAGACGGCACCCGAAGATAATTAATGGTCCAAATGCATTCATTTAATTAGGGGGGGGGGTCGTTGTTATTATTGTTGTTGTTGCTGTTGCTTTGTTTTCATGCTTTTCTTTTTTTTAAACTCATTTATTGATATAGATCTAGACATACAGCATATTTAAGGAATGTATGATCGAAATGATGATGAAGACACCTTATAATTGTGACATGTAAATCTATTAAAGTAGAGATAACAGCTGTCAGGTTCGACAGTAATCTTGGGTTTCCCGCCTTGTAGCATATTTTAGTAATAAACAAATTAATTTTTTTTAAAAACTGTATGGCTAAAACATTCACAGAATTAATTGCTGAGAATAGTCTTGTTCCCACGGGTATTTTTGACACCAAGAGCTGTAGATTCAATGATGAATGTAATCGAAACAAAGGTGTAATGACAGGGGTTTCGGTGGGTTCGCCGTTGTCAAGTCGTGTGGAATGGGGGATGGGATGGGGGTAATTATTAGCTCTAGTCTCATCTTGACTTTTGCAAAAACAAAAGAAACCAACGGGACCCGTCACAAGTCTCTTATCCCGATTATCGTTACAAACCATGACAATAATAGCATGCTCCTCCAAAACCTCCACTTTTCACGGAGCCTCATTTGGGTAGCCGTGACATCATGCGAAAAAACGACGCTTTTAGGAATGGCATGG